CTAGTTTAAAGCTTCCCATGAGTTCATGTGTAAGATTTGGAATAGTTTTGGTTCTTTGCCTCTTCTGCCGTCCTAAAGGAATTAGGGAAACATAGGAAAGGAAATTCACTGAGATGATTGCCATATCAGCATTCAAGCTATGTGGATCAATGAGCATTTTACTTGCCTTTACTGCTTGTAGATCCTATCAAATCAAGAATTTGCCTCACTTCCTTTAAGAAGGAAAATGATGCTGCACTTTTGGCTTCCATCTTAGAATTTTATGCTGCTGTTTTTGTTTATGCAGTTACATTTTCCCCCTTCTTAAACTTTTCCCCTCTCTTTTGCAGACGGTTGCATGGCTTGTGGCTGCGCTGGTGATAGTGATCAATGGGTATCTTTTACTTGATTTCTTCTTCTCCGAAGTCACTGGTGTAGTATTCACAAGTGTAGTGTGTGCATTAACAGGCGCATATCTTGCATTTATAATTTACCTTGTTTGTCGGGGTTTTACTTTATCTGCTCGGCACAGTTTGATACCCCCTCTAAACAGACACAGGGAATTGAGTGATCAATCTTAGGCTCCCTTGTAAAGGCAAGAGATCAGAAGCGTGTAATGCTTACTGCCAATTGCCAATTGATTTAGGTACCATCGAACTCTTTTTCATAGATAAATTCCTCTAGTTTAAGCATATCTTTTTCGGAAAATTTCACATATACGCCATGTGATTTGTGACTTTCCTACTTACAGCCACTGTAAATTTTTTTTTTCCCACATATAACCTTGTAATTCACTTCCGTTGCTAGAAGGGATATCGAATCAAACAAATTTGAATGAAATTACAAAATTACTCTTATTTTTTAACCATGTTGCTTCTGGACAACGGAGATGAACTATAAGGTTATAAGCGGAAAAAAAAAAATTTCACAAGAGATTTAAGTAAGAAAGTGGCAAAGTGAACGAGGTATATGTGAAGTTTTGCATATCTTTTATGGTAGCTTACTTCCTCTCTTGTTTCAAACAACAAGGTTGTAGGATCCATATTATTGTTAAAGAATGTATTTATCATATCCTGCTCTATACAGAGGATTGAAGAGAGTGAGGCTGTAGCAATGACATTCTTTTGAAACATTTGAAGGAGCCAAATTATGTAAATTTCGAAAATGTATCTCAAAATTTATTCAAGCTGGCTATATATGTGAACTAGCTTTGAACAAACATGTAATTCAATTGATTACTGATGCATTTGCTATTTTGCCATTCTTTTAGTCTTGAACTTTTAAGAGTCAAACTTCTTTAATTTTGATTTCATTTTTATTTTAAATATATTGCTAATTAAAATATGAGAAAATATTTTTTTAGAACCCGAGCAAGTCAAATATAACTTTATAGAAAATTAATTTAATAAAATATTTAAAATATTAATGGTCAAATTTTTTTTTTTAATTCCTAATCTATTATTGAACATTCTTACATCAATAATTATTTGGGTTGAAAAAAGTATTATACACAAATCTTATCAAACTCGTAACTTTCAAATATTAATTTCAACGACATATTAAATGTTTAAAGATTTGTTCATGTACTAATGGTTAAAGCTAATAAATTTTTATAATAAAAAATTCAGTAATTTTTTTGGAATTTAAGGATGACGGAACAATAAATAAATAAAGGAAAATAAAGGAAAAAGTGAAAAGAAAATATTACGGAAACTGGGCTGGAGCTTTAGGAAAATTTGGTCTGCTCAAGTTGAGCCCAATATTACAGAACAAACGGACCAGAACCCAAAGAGGATTTTGTAATGTGCTATGCAAAAACTGGAAAAGAAAAAATGAAAAAGGAGGCTTCAGTGAGATAGCGAGAGACACGTTGCAATAAAGAGAAGAAGCAAGAAAAAGAGGAAAAAAAAAAAAAAAGCAAGAAACGAAAGAAATCTGCTCTACCCCTTCACAAAATATCCTTCTTAGGAAACAAAGAGCAAAGTTTCTTGACCGCCGACTGAGGTATGTTTTTTAATTTATTTTTTTTTTGTTTTATTTATTCATTTATTTTGTTTGATATTTCGGTGTCTTGGTTTTGATAGTGTAGAGTTGGTCTTAAAATATTATATGTATGAAACAAAAATTAAAAAAAAAAAGAAAAAATTCGGAGTTTTTGGTGGTGTTGAGAAAGGCAAGGGATTTAGTTGGGATACAATGAAAAATAAAAGAAAATTAAGATAGGCGAATTTTCCTTCTTAAAACTATGGACAATAAAACCTAGTTTCATGAGCTTATTGGTGGTAAAAATGTCAATGGGTAGTGTGACAGACAGAGAAAAGCAGGGAAGAATGATTCGTTCTTCTTTGTTCTTTTAACATGTAGGCTATGGTGTTTCAATTAGTTTCGACATGTTGTCTTGCTATAATTCGACATTTATTATGTATTTTAGGACATTAGGTTCGTTAGAGACTTGAATGGCTGTTTTCAGCCCCGGTGCAAAGAAGTAAGAACATGAATTTGGGGAGTTTTTGCTACTTGATTGAAATGAATGCCTATTAACAATTTCGCCATTAGGCAAGAGAAGCTGTGGTATATTCCAATGGATGTTCTGGCTTTGCTTAATAAGGTGGCAGGACAATTAATATGCTCCTTAGAGGCGTTATGGGTATGGACTGTAGATGTATCTTGAAAGCCTCGTCTCCAGTAGTGTTTATGTCGTTGGCTTCTATTATTGAAACTGGTTGATCAAGGATGGTGCATTTTTTCTTCTTTTACACCCTTACCTTCCTCTGTGTTGTTGTTGTCTTCTATGTAAACTTTCTTTGGTTTGCTATTTGCTTAATTCTTTTTGTATTTATTTATTTCTGTAATTAATAAATTTCAATTAAATCTTGTAGCATTGTCCTTGAACTTTTGTGATTTTTCACAGCTATGCCAGTACCGGGCAACATGTGGCAAATGATGCTGCATCTTCTCTGATTAGAGCAGCTTTGCAAGGCAGTTCTTGAACTGGAAGCTTGCAAGGATGCTTCTGAGACAAGGTTCAATGGGACAGAAATTGAACAAACATTTCCGCAATCTTGATATGACATTAAAGAAGAAATCTGAAGAGCTAGAAGTTAAGGAGAAGGAATACGAGGAGAAAGAAGCTGAAACTCGTGGCATTGATTTCTGAGAGGGAGGCAGCTGTTGCTTCTAAGGAACAAGACTTCTTGGATCGAGTGCAGGAGCTGAAAGATGCTGCTGTTGCTGCCATTGCAGAGGCACGTGCAAATTTCCAACCAACAATTGTGGAACCGCTTAATGCTGGGGACAACAAAGACACCAAGGTAAGCAGCCCTGTTTGGTGATACATACTCTACTGATGAGGGACTTTCCTCATAAAACAGGTGAAAATACTGAAAATGTGGCTGCTGATGTTAAGCCGCGTCCAGAGCTGACGCAATTTTGTGAGCAAATGGATGCAAAAGGACTTCTTAATTTTATAATGGAGAACCAGAAAAATCTATATGCCATTGTCAGGAACTTCCTGTTGCACTAGAAAGTGCAAGTGAACCAGCCGTTTGGTGCTGGATTCATTGGAGGGGTTTTACCCTCCTGATGAAACAACCCAAACGGGGGATAAGAGGGATGCTGCCCTTCAGGGCATGCGCAAATCCTGTGTTGTCTTAATAGAAGCCATGGCTGCCTTTTTGGCCAGAATTGACCCCGGTGCTGATCACCTTCTGAACCTTGAAACCAAGCAGCAAGCCAAGGCAATTGCTGATGAGTGGAAACCTAAGCTGTCTAGTGCAGGCAGTGACACTGCCAATGGCAATTCCTTGGAAGCAGAGGCTTTTTTGCAGCTCCTTGCTACTTTTAGGATTTTTTCAGAGTTTGATGAAGAAGAACTCTGCAAGCTTGTTGTTATAGTTGCTCACCGCCGGCAGGCACCTGAGCTATGTCGTTCCATTGGGTTAACACAGAAAATGCCAGGTTGGTGTTCTTTTAATTAACTGACCTGATGGGGTTTGGAGGCTGGACCATTGCTTCCATAAGATGTGTCTTGAGTTTTATTCCTTTTGGTGTAATGGTGTTTTAGATTATTTGAAAAATATATTACATATTGGAGTTATTATGATGTATCTCTGCCCTGGTGAAGTCTATAACACTGTTTGCAGTAGATATGCTAAACCATGTCTTTCCATGGCAGCTGTTGTTGAGTTGTTGATTAACGGTGGGAGACAAATAGATGCTGTACGATTTATTCATGCCTTCCAGCTTACTGAAAGCTTTCCTCCTGTGCCCCTCTTGAAGACGTACTTGAAGGATTTGAGGAGAAATTCGCAAGGGAAGAGTGGGAACTCTGGTGGCGCTGCTGGTGCACAGGTATGCATGCTTATTCAGGATGTCCAACCACCCCATGCTAAGAATGTTTTCTATACAGAAAATAGCAAATGGTGATTTCCTCTTTTTTTACAGGGTGATGTAAATGCACAAGAACTTGCAGCGTTGAGGGCTGTGATAAGATGTGTTCACGAGTATGGGCTAGAAGCTGACTACCCACTTGACCCACTCCAGAAAAAGGTTTGCTCAACTGGAAAAATCAAAATCAGATTAATAGAAGAGAGTAGGAGATTTGGCAACATCACCAGTCAAAGAGGTCAAGACCCAGCGGTGGATTTAGAGGATTTCGTGGACCTCCTGGTAGGCAGGTGCCACCTGTTTACAAGAGAGGGCTGCATATGTAGGAATGCCGGAAAGGTACCCTCATGCTGGCCCTAACCCCTACGATTATCAAGTCCCGAACCAACCTGCTTATGCTCCGCAAGCTAATGATCAAAGATTATACTACTATTCTCAAGACGACAGAGTCCTGCTCCCTCGTATAATACAGCTACATCTAACTATTGGTACTATGGGTGGTAGCGGATTGCAACCATCACACCAGCCATATATGTAATTCTTGATGAAAAGTTCACCATAGATACAAGATAAGGAGATCAGATTTTTATGCCCCTATATGATGCTAACCGTACCCCCTCATTCTTCCCCTTTTTCCTTTGAGGCTTCTATTATCAAATGCCTTCAAAACCATGTTTAGTGTTAGATTGAGCTTGCTATATTGTAATTTCCTTATGGACTGATAACCTGTTGGATATGCTAATTCAGGACAAGTATTTTCTTCTTATCTTTCTCTGTTGATTCTCATTGGCATGCATGAAATTGCATTCATTGATAGTGTTAGTTATTTTAGTACCCATAAATGATGATGGTCCACTTCAGTTTAATAACCAAAACGACACCGTTTGGAGGGCGTGTGAAAACGTGCTTATATTTTATTAATTCCTCAGACGTTGGTTGGAGAAGAAACTGACGAATCCAAGTATTCCATGCCATCCAACGCCTACATTTTTTTGTCGCATCAGTTTGGTGCAAAGTTCGTTTCTGGTACCCATCCATTGACGTACCCCTCTTCTCTTTGTCTCTCGTCTCGGGTGCTGCCTTCGATTCCTTTGCCTCCGTCGGAGCCACAATGCTTTTCATGGCACGGGCACTCGTTGACCTCGCCGTCGCAACCGTCGCTTTCTTCCTCCTCTTTCTTCTCTCCCAATCAAATCCTTCCACGTCACCTCCACTCCTTCTCCCTCCACCTCACCATGGCGCCCGTCCCGCCATGATCCTCCCTCTCTTTCCTTCTCCCAAGAATTCCTCTAGAACATTCTCCAACTCTCCTCGTCACCTCCTGAGATCCGACTCTCACTCTTCCCATCCCAACGCTCGAATGCGACTCTACGACGATCTCCTCCTCAACGGGTACAACATTATTATACCATTATTATTTACTCCAATTCATTTTTCTCTTTTTCTTTTAACTGAGATTTTCGAGGATTTAAAATTTCGAAGGTATTACACTACGCGGCTATGGATCGGGACACCTCCACAGAGATTTGCGCTTATAGTGGATACTGGAAGTACTGTTACTTACGTTCCTTGCGCTACTTGTGAACAATGCGGTAGACATGAGGTGATGTATTCATTCATCTTTGCCTCTTCTTCTCTTTCGATTTTTTTTTTATTTTAATTTGAAAAATAAAACTTTTTTCTTTCCTTGTTTTTAAAAATTATTTCATGTTTATTAATGTTTTTGACTTTTAGTGTATTCCAAGCATATTAGAGTAGATCTGACTAGATAAACTCCTTTTTTTTTAATTTCTTTAGCATTACCCTCCTATTTGAGATATTCGTTTAGGCTTTATTTGCTCGTTGCTTTTGCTTTGTGAAGCGAAAAGAAAGTTATGTTTACATGTAAAAGCCAACGATATTTTTTTAAAATTTAAATGAAAAAAATACAGCTTTTATTTATAGCAAAATGCGTGGTTTTATGTTTAGACATATAATAATTACCTTTGAATTAATTTTACATTTTAATCAGCTGCTTATTTTTCATTAAATATGAATTTATTTACTATTTGTTTTATAGCAATTTTTAGAAAACAAAAGCATGTAGGAATGCAGCCTTAATAATTTTCAGTGAAAGGTTTTCATCATGTTGATTCTGAGAAATTTTATTTAGGTGGTTAAGCTAATAGGTTTTATGATTTCTTTTTATCAGGATCCAAAGTTTGAGCCGGATTTGTCCAGCACTTACAAACCTGTAAAGTGCAATTTGGATTGCAATTGTGACAATGACAGGGTGCAATGTATTTATGAGAGACAGTATGCTGAAATGAGTAGCAGTAGTGGTGTCCTCGGTGAGGATATCATGTCGTTTGGGAATCAAAGTGAACTTATGCCCCAGCGTGCTGTTTTTGGTTGCGAAACTGAGGAAACTGGTGACCTTTACAGTCAACATGCTGATGGAATTATGGGATTGGGACGTGGTGATCTCAGCATTGTTGACCAGCTTGTTGAAAAAGGTGTGATTAGTGATTCGTTCTCATTATGTTATGGTGGGATGGATATTGGTGGGGGTGCTATGGTTCTTGGTGGTATATCTGCCCCATCAGACATGGTCTTTAGTAATTCAGATCCTGAACGCAGGTATGTTTTGTAAAAATTTTATCTCAGAGATAGAATGTCTAATCAACTTCCTTATGAATACGTTTGATACATCTGACACATTTACTCTAGTTTTGGGATGGCAACAGTCCATATTACAACATTGATTTGAAAGAGATACATGTAGCGGGGAAGCAGCTACCTTTGGAACCAAATGTCTTTGATGGAAAGTATGGAACTGTTTTGGATAGTGGTACAACATATGCGTATCTGCCTGAAGCTGTATTTGCAGCGTTTAAGAATGCTGTAAGATTCAGTTCCCATAAATGCACCATAATTTCTTAAAATTTTAGTTAGGCCTATTAATGTTTTCTTACTGGACCATCTTTTGTCTCCTGGCTGAGTGATATATTGTGTTTAGAGGATTTAAAAACTTCGCTTGTCATTCTTAATGGCATTAATATGGGGGATCATTGGAGTTTTATTCTATCAGTTGTACATATTCATCTGGAATTTTATAGGTGTTTGTAAGGGCATGAGATGACTACATGCTTTACACGTTGACCTGTTAACAGTCAAAACATAAAACTCCGCATTTTATTGTGTTTGTTCTTTTCTCATTTTATTTCATATTTGCATCTGTATTGTAGATTATTAAGGAACTTAACAGCTTAAAGCAGATCCGTGGCCCTGATCCAAATTACAATGATATATGCTTTTCTGGTGCTAGCAGGTATTGATATTATGTTCCATAACAGAAAAAGTGAACAGTTTTCAATTATTTGTTATGGAAACTGATTAGTTATCTTTGTTCTGCTATTAACTTTTAAATTTTGTTTTTCTGCTTCAGTGATGTCTCTGAACTCTCTAAAATGTTTCCAACAGTTGAAATGGTATTTGACAATCAGCAAAAATTATTACTGTCACCTGAGAATTACTTGTTTCGGGTAAGTTTTTCCCACTTTAATTGCTTTCCTGTTGATTGAACAACTTAATTTCTCAGGGGAACCTTCTTAAGGTCATACTTGGAGTTGGTTTCAGAGGAATTGCGTTTGAATTCAAATGAGTATTTTGCTCTTTCCTCGATGTTCAATATGTGACTAGAGGTTTTCTGCTTATCTTACATCTTATATTGATAAAGCATTCAAAGGTGCACGGTGCATATTGCCTTGGGATCTTCCAAAATGAAAAGGATCCTACTACTCTTCTGGGAGGTATGTTAAGCTTCAGATAACTTGTATTTTGTGATACTATTCCTGTTAAGCTTTAATGAGACTCTTTTTTGCTGCTCGGTCTTAGTATTGGAATTTGATGGAATTGGAACCATCTTCTTGGGCAAACTTTGGCGAAATATCTCCATTTTCAATTCCAAAGCTTTTGTTTGATGCCATGAAAATTGTGGGACTGTTATTTTCTTTCTTGTTTTCAACTGTACCTATATGTCTGTAATAGGGATCATTGTGCGCAACACCCTTGTTACGTATGACCGTGAGCATTCAAAGATTGGTTTCTGGAAGACTAATTGTTCTGAGCTTTGGGAAAGGCTTCACACACTATCACCATCTCCTTCATCTTCAAGCGGGAAGGATAATTCAACTGTGGAATTGCCACCTACATCAGCTCCTGATGGACCATCACGATATGCTCTTCCAGGTACAGTAAACCATTGTTACCCAAGGACCTTATATGGTTCTCATTGTGTTGGAACCCATTACAGGTCTGCAGTTTATTTTATTGAAAAGCACGAATGATGATCGATACTTTTATTAATTACACTTTCTAAGTGATATTGTTATATTATATTCCATCTTCAAGAAACAAGGTCATTCTACTGTTCGATTTCCATTTCTGGTGTAAAACAAGGTCATGCTACTGTTCATTTTCCATTTCTAAGTGATATTGTTATATTATATTCCATCTTCAAGAAACAAGGTCATGCTATTGTTATATTATAATGTCTTTCAGCTTCAGTGGAAGTCTTTCTGATGACATTTCCTTGTTGATGAACAGGGGAAATTCAAATTGGTGAAATTAAATTGGATATGTCATTGAGCGTCAACTACTCATATCTAAAGCCTCGCATCAACAAACTTGCTGAGTTGATTGCTAAGGAGTTAGATGTTAATGCTTCACAGGTTAAACAACTGCTACCGTCAAATGCAGGAGCATTTGCTGGCAGTAATTTATGAACTATTAATGCGAAATTACATGTTAATTATTGAAGAAATTTTTAAACTATCTCACTAAACAGTTGTTTTTTCTGTCTACGGGTAGGTTTGCAAGTAACATTTACTTTATTGGTTACGAAATTTTTTGGATGATTTCAGGTCCATTTATTGAATTGTACATCCAAAGGAAACAACAGTTCTCTTGTCAGATTGGCCATAGTCCCTACAGGAACCTACATTTCTAATGTTACTGCCATAGTAAGTCTTTTTTAAATCATTGCAATTCTTTTAGGTCATGTTTGGTGCATTAGATGATGCACAAAATAGGATGATAATTATCCCATATCATGTTTGGTTTGTATCTAAAGAGAGGGATTGGATTACAAGGAGGATTAATCATCCTCTTGGTACAACGTGATTCAATCCTCTGAAAATAGAGAGGATTATTTTTAATCCATAGGATTAAACTTATATGCTGTATTATACTCTTAAAAGTTACACAATAAATTTAAATTATGTAAACTTTGAGGAAGGATAATTTTGATCAATATATATAATTAGCATATCCTAATCCTTGCATGCATGAAACACAAGATAGAATGACATTATTTAATCTAATCCTATTCATAATATTATCTTATCTTATCATATTACAATCTTATCCACTAAATATGCCATTAATATACAAGATTACAGCTGTTTGCTTGATGAATTTCTGCTTCCAGAGTATAATATCTCGGCTTGCTGAACATCGTGTGAGGCTTCCTGATACTTTGGGAAATTATCAGTTGGTGCAATGGAAAGTTGAGCCTTTTGTGCAACAGTATGTTCCCATTTTCTAGAGGCCTGGTTATTAATTTTAGTATTGGCCACACACACACACATTCTCTCTCTCTCTTGCATGTGTATGGAGCCTGTGGGGCTACTGACTATCTTATGCCATTTTAAAAGACACCTTCCTGCTGACAATTTGATGAATCATCTATCAAAAATTCTGTGTCTATTTACATATGTATCTGAAATCACAGGGGCTTGCTTTAAATATTAACTTGCAGAATACCCTCTCCATATGGCCTCACAGTACCTGTGTCTCTGATGGTGCGTAAATGAAAGCTTGTACCATAATTCTAAGGGTCTAGATCTTCTGCATAGTTCATTGGTGCTAATAACTGGATCAGTGCATACGGAAAACTTGTACTGTAATTCCAGAGGGTCTAGATCTTCTGCATGGTACATTGGTGCAGCATGGATCTGTTCTATCCTTATTCTCTGAGATATCTACGTCCTAAATTATTTTTTTTTTCTCTTGGGTTCCTAGTAAGTATACATATCATTGAAAAATAAAAAGTCTTTTCTTTTTCTGAAACAAAATTGTTACTCATGAAGGCGGTCTATTCTCAACTAAATCCTGCAAATTCTAATGGTCAACATTGTTGAACTGACAAGGTAATTGTCTTGTATCTAGAAATAGTTTGTTACACTATGTGCATGCAAGATATATAAACAAAAACGAAATAAGAACATAATCTACTAATTCACGATCCAATCTCTAGTGAGTTGCTAGTTTAAACCTCTTTAACTCATTTATAATCTGGTGAAAGTTAGTTGGGACAGGCAGGGCCATGGCTGCCTTAAATGTTGAGGAAATTCCATAATTTACTATATGCCTTATTTACTGACAATTTCATTTTGATCTTAATAAGAACTGAGTCTGCTTTCCCGTCCGAACAGAAGATCATTTTACTGTAACCTATCTATATCTCTTGGTGAATTTATGCTCAAAACTATATCTCTTGGGGTGAATTTATAGTCAAAACTATGGTTATTTATTACATGAAAGGTGATGATATAAGGTTTAATATGATTTGTGCGTCTGAAATGATACAGGACATGGTGGCAGCTACATTATTTTGTTGTTCTGTTGGCTATTATCATCGCAATAATCGTTGGATTATCAGTTTCTGGAATGTGGATTATATGGAGACGCAGGCAACAATCGCTCAATTCATATAAACCTGTTGATGCAGCTGTACCAGAGCAAGAACTCCAGCCACTATGATCTTAAAAAGCTAACTTTTGCTCGGTTATTATGCGGAAAGAAGACTTTTTCCTTGGACTTGGGCTACGGGTTCTGCACCAATACAGGTTAATGGTCTAAAGTTTTATTGGATGACAGGGATCTTCGCTTTTTTGCTTATCGTTTCAAGATAAGAATTCCTTAACTAAATTTGTATGTGAATAATATTTTAACATGCAAAGTGAATCAGAAAAGCTCGTCAACATATAAATATGGTTTTGATTTACAAAACTATTGCTGTTGAGTTTACTTTTAGTAGTTAAAAATTGAATTGGGGTTCGCTTCTTCCATTTAAATATATGTCAAAATAACTATATCTTGGTTTATCTTGTGTCTTCATGGAAAAACGAGAACAAGCATGTTGCACTTTCGTACTGAGCCAAGAAACCGATGACATTTCAGTTCCCACCCAGAGAAATCCTACGGTTCTTGTGTTCTTTTTCCAAGCATGAAGCCAGCCAGGTGAGCATTTCAGGATCCGAAAAGCTGCTGTATTTTGGTACAAAATGAGTCAAAGTCAATTAGAACAAAAAATCAATGGAAATGTAAATATTTCGATGAGAAATTTTTATATATATTACTAATTATCAAATGGATTTTGTCTGAAACGTATTCATAAACTCTTAGGGTCTCCAAAGTATTGAAAAAAAAAAGAGTTTCAGACTTATTTTTGGGTGGAAAATTCTAAATAACGTTCTCATTTTTTTGTTATATTTCTAAAAATTATTTTAACTAAATTCTTAATTATTTTTTTCTTCAATTTTCTTTTACTTTTAAGTTTTTGAATTTATAAATTTGAAAGTTTTTAAAAATTTTCAAATTTATCAATTCAGAAACTCTTGAAAATTTTTGAAATTAGATGTCCTAAAATTTTAAAAAATTTTTGAATTTATATATCTAGAAACTTAAAAATTTATATAAGCTATTTCTTAATTATTTTTTTCAAATCTAACAATAATTTTTTTAACTTATTGAGTATGAAAATTTGATAAATTTTTAACTTATAAGATATGAAAACTTGATATATTATATAACTTTATTAAATGTATATTTAAGATAAATTATATAACTTATTAAAAATGCAATATTCAGTAAAATTATAAAAGTACATGTTTTGAAAATTTTAAAATTAAAATAAAGAGGATAAATAAGTAAAATTGACTTAAAAAAACAAACGTAAAGTAAAAATGGAAAATGTATTTAGAACCAATTTTTGTGGGATTAAGAACAGACGGATGCAAATGCCAATTGTGCCATTGTTACTTTTGACCATATCTATTTCAAATGTTACTTTTCAATTTCTTCTAACATTTTAATAATAAATGCAATTAAAAATGATATTGGGGGCATTTTGTAATTAAACTTTTAGATAATTAATTGACTAGAAAAAGAAATAAACAAAAAAAAGAGAAATCGAGAGGGTTGTAATTTTGTTAAAAATTTAAATATATTCTTTAAACTGTTTATTATGCTGTATTAAATTAATTTTTTTTAGCTTTTATTATATTAAAATAAAATTTATCTTCGAATATTTTATTGAAAAGTATTTTATTGGATAAATAAATAAAATGTGGAGATATTTATTAAAAAACAAATTCCGGAACCGACTCTTTCGGCTGCTACATAATGAAATCCCCAAAATTCCAGTCAAAATATTCATAATGAAATTCCAAAATGAGGAGATTGTCCTGTTTTCCAAATATTTAATTCTAAAAATTGAAAATAATAAACAATTAATGTTCTATTTATTTTGCAAAAAATAAATTTTAAAATTTTATTTATATTTTTTGAATTAAAAAAATTTTATTTTTTGAATGAGTTAATAAAAATTATTTTTTATTATTTGATTTTTTTTGAAAATTTTATTTTTTAAATAATATTAATAAAACTATTAATTTATTAAAATTATTTATTATTAAAGTATATTAAAATTATTATATTAAAAAATAATTATTTTTAATAATAATATTTAATATTTATAATATTATGGTTAATTAAAAAGACTTAAAATAAAATATTTATTATTTTTAGATCATTTAGTACTATATTATAATATTATTTATTGATATATTATATTAATAACATGATTATTTATTATTAATATATTATATTATTAAGTTATTAGATAATCTTTATTCATTAATATAATAATATTATTGATATAATATATATTATTATTAATAATATATATTTGTTAATATATATTGTTTATAAATAAAATTATATTCAAAATCATTAATAAATAGTTTTATTTATAAATAATTTTTAAAAAATGATTTTTCTTTCTCTTTAAATCTGTAAAATAATTTTCAAAATATTAATTTTGTTGATCAATAAATTATATTTTTTACTAATTAATTTTTCATCAAATAAATATTTAAAAATATAAAAATTATCTTTCCAAAATCATTTATCCAACACGAATACTAGTAGAATAGAAAGACTGACGTTCCAGCAACAGGAGCGAAATCTGGGTTTTTTTTTATTGTTTTTTCTTACAAAGATTAAGAGACCCAAAAGGGAAAAGGACCCAACATTCAAAGCTGCATTCCGGTACCATTTGTTTTTTTCCTTCCCCCTTTTTTTTTTTTTTTTTGGCTTTGGAAATTTCTCTTTATTTCTTAGTTTAATTATCTTTTAATCTTGATATATGCAGTTGGGTTTTTGTTTAACGACATAGAGAATCAAAGCTTCCGTTTTTCTGTTCCTTTTACAGATCATAGACCCATTAAACTTGTTGAAAGATCTTGATCGAGTTGAGGTGTCTCTTATTTCCTTTGCTAACATTTCCTTGCAATTTCTTAATATTTTGACTAATTACTTCTTTGGAGTTGGTTATTTTTTAAATAATAAGGAAACCCGTTTGATTTAAGTACTTTCTGTATGAACATGTTGTTTGACAGTATGATTTTGAAAGGCTAAGTGGGTTTTTGGATAAATGAGATTTTAAGGACTAAGGGAGTTTAGGGTTAACTTTTAGTTATTAGTTTGTTTAGCTTTGGGAAAGTGTAAAAAACAGCTTAAAATTGTTGGAAGGACAAATTATTTTGTCTGAAGGGTCAAACATGCCCTCAAACAAAAATTCAATGATCATCCAAGCCCTTATCCTTTTATTGCAATTAATTAAGCTCTCAAACATCTATTTTCATCAATTGAGCCCTTATTAGACAAAAATTGATTAGGCTTCAACATTAATTTCCATCTAGTCAAGGGCTCAATTGAGGTGAAAGTAGATATTTAAGGATTCAATTTGGTGAAATAGAATGTTTAAGGGCTCAATTGATCCCAAATAGAAAATTCAAGATTTCATTTGATTGCAATAAAATGTTAGGAGCTTAAATGACTATTGAGTTTTTGTTCAAGGGCTTTTTTGACCTTTTTGCCTATTATTTTTTATATGACTACGACACAATTATGTATGTGTGCCAAAATCATTAAGGTGTAAAAGGGATTTATACAAATATGTATGGATGCCAAAACAATTAAGGTGTAAAATGGATTTGATTAAGTTGTGATTTTACTATGCTGTTATCGGAAACTTGGAAAGTGCATAAAATATAAAGTATGCCATATAAATGACATTAGAAACCATTTGGAGATAGGTTTTGAAGTAATGATTTAGGTAAATTTATAGGTTTCATTACTGCTGTGCTAGTTATCATCTAGTAGCATGTGGAATTTGAACATGGTTGTCGAAACAATTTATGTTTGTTTTTGTAATTCTTGTTAAGGTCTTTAAATCTTTCATTTGAAGCATTCAAATGCTGGGTTTAGATCATCATATGGTCGATGAACTAGCATGGGATGGTTCTACATCCCGGTAGTCATATCTGGTTGTTTTTGTTCCAATAGCATCTTTTTTCTATTCCAAAAGGTACGTCTAATCTGCATTGAATTTTAATGAGATGATTACCAAAAATAGGAAAATATATCCAAATAATTAACTGTTAATTTCCTAGAAACTAGGGCGTTAGTGAAGAGGAACTGCATTGTAGTACAGAAGCTTACAAGGTACTGGAGTAAAGACAATTCCATTGAAGGAGCAGTCACCACCCAAATTTCAATTTTTCCATAGCCGTCATTTGTTTTCTCTAATTTTTAGAGAAGGATTTGGCTTGTTATTAGTCAACTAACTCTCTCCGTGGTGGTGGGTGGGTGGGGATCATGTTATATTTAATGTGGAGATGTGACTGCTTTTTGTTATTTCTTTTTAGTTTGTTTACCTTAGTTACATTTTCAAGGGTGCTATGAAGATTATCAGCATAATAAACTTTGAAAGGAAACATTGCTGTAATTTCAGTGGGTGTTTTGGTGGTAAATATTATATTTGAAGGTTTAAATATTTATTTTTTGTTTTCATTCTTAATATTTTAAGCTTCATTAAAGCTTGATTTAAAATTTTGTTTCTGTATAGGGATTGCTAGTTGGTGAAGTTTAGATTTCAAGAATCTTTGTGGTTCTTGTTATCAAGATAGTGTGCTACATTGGCTATGATCCTGATATTCAAAAGGGTTTTCTTCAGTTTTATCGCAAAATATGGTTTTCCAAGGATCAGTGATTGAGAAAGAATTTTTCTGTTAGAATTTACAAAACACGGTATGTACTATGTCCTTACCTTATCTGGACTTTGCTCTTCTTTTTTTTTTTCTCCAAACGTGTGCAAATGAATTTATGCATTTTGTCCCTATATCAGTTTTGCAACAAACTAACTGTGGTGACGATGGTGTTGGCAGAATATGTGGTTGCCCTAGTTCAGTGATGATTTTGCTTTGGGTTAAGTTGAATGCCTGGAGAAGGAATTATGCTGTTGACAGACCTCCCAAGTAATTGGACTGGAAGCTTTCTCCCAGTTGTTTCATGTCATGATTTATTTTTGAATCAAGATTCCTCTGATTTGTATTGAGGTTTTATTGAGGAGCATCGTTTTCTTTGACTATTGTTTTTAGTTTTCTATTCATTCTTCTTTTCTTCTTGTTCGGGTATGCTCAATGAGACATATTTGAAATGGCTCTTTGCATTTTCTTTGTGGCATGTCAAGCATTCAGTAAATATGTGAATTGTTAAGCCTCATGTCATGGGTCTTTGCTCTGTATAAATAGATGTGATATGGGTGTGATAATATACATTGAAAACAGCCTGATCCTTTGTTGTTATTATTATTATTTTTTTTGTGGATACAACTGACACATGAAATATTTGAAATTCTGGAATGACATCAAGTGAATGAAACAAAAGTGATAACTGAGAGGCAAACTTTAGCTACTCTAAAATAATGTGGGCTGTGAGGAAGGTATGATGAAGTTAGGGGGTAGTATTTACTTTGAAGTTACTGGCATGCTGAAAT